GATGCCATGATCTTAGTTTTCTGAATGTTGAGCTTTAAGCCAACTTTTTCACTCTCCTCTTTCACTTTCATCAAGAGGCTCTTTAGTTCTTCTTCACTTTCTGCCATAAGGGTGGTGTCATCTGCATATCTGAGGTTATTGATATTTCTCTTGGCAATCTTGATTCCAGATTGTGCTTAATTCAGCCCAGCATTTTGCATGATGTACTCTGCATATAAGTTAAATAAGCAGGGTGACAATATAGAGCCTTGACGTACTCCTTTTCCTATTTGGAACGAATCTGTTGGTCCATGTCCAGTTCTAACTATTGCTTCCTGACCTTCATACAGGTTTCTCAAGAAGCAGGTCAGGTGGACTGGTATTCCCATCTCCTTCAGAATTTTCCACAGTTTATTGTGATCCACACAGTCAAAGGCTTTGGCATAGTCAATAAAGTAGAAATAGATGTTTTTCTGGAACTCTCTTGCTTTTTTGATGATTCAGCAGATGTTGGCAATTTGATCTCTGTTTCCTCTGCCTTTCCTAAAACCAGCTTGAACATCTCGAAGATTACTCAGTCATAAAAAAAAGAACAAAATAATGCCATCTGCAGCAACATGGATGGACCTAGAGGTTATCATATTAAGTGAAGTAAGTCAAAGGCAAATATCATATGGTATTGTTTAAATGTGAAATCAGAAAATAAAAAGGGTTCAAATGAACTTACCTACAAAACAGAAATAGAGTACAGATATAGAAAACAAACTTATGGTCACCAGGGGTAAGAAGAGGAGGAATAAATTGGGAGATCAGGAATGACATATACATACCACTGTATATAAAATAGCTAACAGAAGGACCTACTGTATAGCATACAGAACTCTACTCAATACTCCGTAATGGCCTATATGGGGGAAAAAATAATGAAAACAGTGGATGTATGTATATGTACAACTTACTCACTTTTCCATACACCTGAAACTAACATAACATTATATATTAACTATACTCCAATAAATTTTTTTTTAAAAGAACACCCTTTCTTCTTTGAAAGAAACCTGAGGTCCAGCCTATCAGGCCAGCCAAATAGGAGACATGTCACCCAAAGAAGCAACTCAAAATGAGTCCAGAGACACGAACATTCATTCAACAAATATACATTCATTTGACCAATATTTATAGACTGTTTGTATTTTGCCAGACAATGTGTTAAGTGTCTCCAATCCAGGCTTTCAGGAGCCCAGACTTTGAATTCTCCTTATTATCAAAGTCAAAACCAACCAACCCTGTATGGAATAGTTCAGTTTTGTTGCCATCAGCAGGTTCATTCTACATACTCCTTCTGGAGCAAAATGAAAGGAAGATGGAGGTGGGGTAAAACAAAGATGCAGAGGAGACTCACAGTAGTGTGGAGTAAATTTCCCCTCTACTCCCCACTCATCTGGGTTTTCTCAAGAATTTTCTCCTGTACGTTTTCCTGTGCGCGATTACTCAGAGACCTCACCCCCTCTATCAACTTTGAGCAAAATAATATTAACTCCTGGTTTGAATATGCCTTTATCATCATCATCACCATCATTGGCCCTATATGTACAGTTCTAGTGGCTGTAATAACATGGTGATAAGGAATACAAGCTTAACTTAAACCTTCTCTGGAGCCTTTAAAATTGAACACTTCCACTGAAAAGTAAATTTAAAAAATCCAAATCCAGGGATTCCCTAGTGGCTCAGTGGTTTTAAAAAAAAAAAAAAAATCCACCATTCTCCCATGGAGGGGAAATGGATACCTAAAATGAAGATTGCTGTTCACAGCCTCATTTGCAGCCAGGTATGGCCATCTGGCTAAGCAGTGACCAATGGGAGAAGTGAAAATGCCCTGCTGCAGTTTCCAGGACCTCCCNAGAAGCCAGTGCAGTGAGAGAAGCCCATGCACCGCAACCAGAGAGAAGCCCCCTGCTTGTCCCAGCTAGAGAGGAGCCCAGGCAGCAAGGAAGACCAAGCACTTTAAAGTAATGAAATAAATTTTTAAAAATTATTTTAAAAACTCCAAATCAAAAACAAAATCCAAATCCTTCAATATTCTGTGATAAACCATAATGGAAAAGAATATGAAACAGAATGTATATATTTATATATATACATATATACATGTATAACTGAGTCCCTTTGCCATAGAGCGGTAATTAACACAACATGTAATTCAACCATACTTCAATAAAAATAAATTTAAAGTAAATAAGTAAATAAATAAAAATCAAACCCATTCTCCATTATGATTTTCTACTTTCAAAGTACCTTGCTAGTATTGGCAGTGATTAGTTTGAGCTTTATATTAACTTTCATACACTGTACCTCATTTCTAGATGGTTCATATTCTCCAAAACAGTTTTCATTTTCCAAAGTTATTTAATCAAACCTCATAGGTGAGAAAAAGTGTGATTGTTTACTATGGTAAGTTCATATGTTGAAATCTCAAATCCCAAGGGTGATGGTATTAGTTGGTGGTGTTGTTAGCGTGGGATCCTGATGAATGGGATTAGCACCCCTAGAGAAGAGGCTCCAGAGAGCTCCCCAGCCCCTTCCACCTCGTCAGAACACAGATAGAAGGCACCACCAGCTCTGAAGCAGGATGACAGTCTTTCCCAGGACACAACCAGGCTGGAGACTTGATCCTGGACGCCTCAGCCTCCAGAACTTTGAGAAATAAATGTGTGTTGTTTATAAGCCACCCAATCTGTGGTATTTGTCATAGCAGTCTAAACAGACTAGGATAATGATAGTTGTCTTAAATTTGAAGATATGGACAATTTTAAGAGAGAAACTGGTAAATGGCCGTGGGCTAGGTCTCAGTTGACTGGAGTTTTAGTTCTGCATCTACTGGTTTCATGTAGAAACAGACACTTCCCTTCCTGACCTGCTTTCCCATCATTAAGGACGGGGCTCCAGTTCATGCACACCACCACCAAGGTAGAACTCAGAAGCATTTGGGTCAGGTAAGAAAAGAAGCAGAATGTGAGAAAGCAGACGTGGTACACATGTACAATGGAATGTTACTCAGCCACAGAAAGGAACAAAATGGGGTCATTTGTAGAGATGCGGCTGGACCTAGAGACTGTCATACAGTGAAGCAAGTTCCAAAGAGAAACACAAATATCAAATATTGATGCATGTTTGTGGAATCTAGAAAAAATGGTATAAATGACCTTATTTGCAAAACAGAAATAAAGATAGACGTAGAGAAGAAATGTATGGATACAAGTGGGGAATGGGAGGTGGGTGGGATGAAACTGGGAGCTTGGGATTGATGGATCTACACCACTGATACCATGTATAAAACAGATGACTAATGTCTCCACAGAGAACCTACTGTGGAGCACAGGGAACTCTACCCAGAGATCTGCGGGGACCTACATGGGGAGGAAATCCAAAAAAGAGGGGATACATGTGTATGCACAGCTGACCCACCATGCTCTACGGTAGAAACTGACACAACATTGAAAAGCAACTATACGCCAATAAAAATTAATTTTAAAAAATTAAAAATTAAATTTTTTTAAAAAGCAGAATGTAATTCATCACATGATGACATTTACTAATATTTTAAATACACACAGAAAACTGCTCCATCTTTTCTAAAGCCACCCTGATACTTAAAGCCACAGCAGACACGTTGGAATGGAAGGGAGGGAGAGAGGATAGAGAGAAGCGAGTGATGACAAGCGCTGTGAGCTCGTTGGGAGAGAGAACCCCACTCTGTGCACTTGAGAACAACGTAAAAGGACATTCGAAAGGGTTCATAGTGCCAATTAACCAGGAACAATCTCCCTGAAGAAATGGCACTTTGGCTGCGATGTGAAGGGTGACCGTTCCTGATCTCAGATGCAGATCTGCTTTCATGTCTAAGTGCAGAGGAACTGCTGGGCTGAGTGTCAGGAGGGCCACATCCTTCCTGGGTCAGCCAGACTGATCTCAAACTCAGATGAGTCTCTAATCTCCAATTCCTTCTTTCATCTTACAGTTTAAATTAGAAAAAAATTATTTTTCAGTCAGATCTGTGTCAGAGTTTAGATCTTACTGATCGTGTGTGTGTGTTTGTTGTTGTTGTTTAATAGAAATTATAAGTTCAGAGAGGTTTCTGTTCTCCAAGAACTATGATCTCCTCACAACCACCCTCCCCACCCCTAGGTTTTGTTCCTCTTTTGTGTTTAACGAGACTGACGTTCAAAGAGGTTCTGTTTTTAGAATGTTGTATCCTGTTCTCTTCTGATAAATATGTTTTTGGAATGTACTGTCACTTCATGTTTGCAAAGCTTAACTTCTCAGCTAGACAAATACCAGTAAGCATATGTATCTGGTAACCTGAGGATGGGCATCACACATTCAATTTCTCCTGTTTGTCAAATCACTTGGTATAATCTGACCATGTTACAGAGGCTTAAAAATGTCATATGAAGCAGTCAAGTCCTTATATGCATAAAGAAACGGTCACAAATAGAAGCAGTCACAATCATCAAACTCCTGGCTGAAAGACAGTGGTTATTTTCAGCCTGCCTCAATTTTTCACAGTTCTCCAGATGGCCATCAATACCATAAGGACCCTGAGCAAGCAATCTGTTTCCCTTTCGTTGAATCAGTGGCTCTGGGACAGGAAGTCCTTTCCCCGCCGGTCCATTTCATGTGGTAAAGCAGGAGGGAAAGCTTTTCTGTGAGAAAGAAGACTCTCTGAAGCCAGAGCTGCTTCCTGTCTGGACTGGAGGCTGCACCTGTAAGGGGAAGGCCTCTCTCCCTGTGTCAGCGTGTACACCTGAAAGAAACCACCGTGTTCTTACCTGGAGAATCTCTGCCCTGAGTCACAGAAGCATCCAGCCTGAGAACCGTGGATAAGAAGGCCACCACCCAGGGAACCCAGCTAGGACTCATTCTGGAAGAAAACAAACGAGACAGGAAAATCTTCACCTCTTTAGAACGGGGCTTGGCCACACACACTCCGTCAAATATTCATGCAGAGCAGAGACGTCTTTCTGTCTACCCCGGGATTGGAAACTCCTCATCCAGACAACCAATCAAGCTAGAGGAGCTTAGAGTCATTAGGTGCTGGGTAGGATGCCTTCATAAACTCATGTGATACCACTCAAGAATTGATCACCTGCAGAATCACGGACTGCAGTTCAGGTACTTGGAAACTGGACTAGGAGAAAAAAGAAAAACTGCTCTACAGAGTATGTGGTCTCAGAAGGACTAGGCAGATTGTCTACCACGGATCTTTGTATCATTATCCAGCATGGTCCCTGGCCTGCTGTGGCCAGTAGATCTCCATGATGATGCGGTGACTGACGCTGCCAACAGAGAACATGTAAATGAAGACAACAGCGGACAGCATTCCGAGGCCTGGGCCTTATGGGGACTCAGGGAAAGGGTTATTAGAGAAAAAATGGAAAAGACTGAGAATTATCTGGAGAGGAGGATTTCCTATAAACCAAGAGAGGGAAGAAAAAGCAAACTTGGAGAGAAGCTTCTTGAAAAAATAAAATTCTGCAAAAAAATGTTTAAAAGGATAAAAAGAGAGTGTGGATATGTGTATATGATTCACTTTGCTGTACAACAGTAATTAACACAACACTGTAAATCAACTATACTCCAATAAAAATTTTAAAATATGAAAAGAGTTTGGTGCATATCCGGGAGACAATAGCTCTCATGGATTTATATTTATGATAACTTGATGAAAATAACACATAAGCATGGATAGTGAATCTAAATGTTAAACTTCTTAAGCTGATAAAGGTAGATTTGAAACAATGTTTAAAGAGGATAAAAGAGAAAAAAGCATTATTATGTTTTATAATTAATGGGGCACCAGTAGCCTTCAGTGGAACAGAGTATTAAAAGAAGAGGCAATATTTCAAAAAGGTAAAGAGTGAATTAAGTGAGAAAATGATGGTAGTAGACATACCAGTCCTTCGGGAATTTTGGAAGCTGACCTTTGTGCATTGTTTTGTTGTTTGTTCAGTCACTCAGTTGTGTCCGATTCTTTGCGGCCCCGTGGACTGCAGCACACCAGGACTCCCTGTCTTTCACCATCTCCTGGAGCTTGCTCAAACTCATGTCCATTGAGTCGGTGATGCCATCCAACCATCTCGTCCTCTGTCATCCTCTTCTCCTCCTGCCTTCAATCTTTCCCAGCATCAGGGTCTTTTTCAATGAGTTGGCCCTTTGCATCAGGTGGCCAAATTATTGGAGCTTCAGCTTCAGCATCAGTCTTTCCAATGAATATTAAAGACTGATTTCCTTTAAGATTGACTGGTTTGATCTCCGTGCAGTCCAAGGGACTCTCAAGAATCTGCCTGCCACATTGTAAGCAGATTCTTTACCTTCTGAGCCACCAGAGAAATCCCAAAACCTTCTTAGTTAATGATATTATTGGGTTGGCCAAAAAATTCTATTGATCCAAATGTATTTTGGACCAACCCAATACTTTTTGGGGGCTTAAAAGTGATATGTCTCTATGCTGAGGGTCAGTCACCTGTAATGTTAGTACTTGTTTTTATAGCTACCTTCTGTGGTGATGAAAGTGAGCAGTGAGTGACAGTGGTTTAAAATTATTTTTTTCTGTGAAATTGGCTAATTTGATATGTATCAGGAATGTATGAATCTCAGTGTAATTTCAAGCTAGATTTGTACATATAAATAGAAGGCAAAAAGAATAAAATGCATTGCTTCAAAAAAAAAAGAAAAAACACTTTTTCAGACACAGGATTAAAATAGGAAGATTTGAAAAACAGGGGTATGAGGAAGTTCAAGCTGTGTGTGGCTTCAACAAACTTATTTTAGAACAAGGGGAGGTCTTCTGCTGAAAAGAAACTGGAAAAAAATATTTGATAAGTAAGGAAAGCAAGACTTCTTTTTTCCAAAGTAATCTATAAGTGTATTATTATTCAATTTGCTCTCGATCCATGGCCCAATATTGAATCCTGCAAGATGAAACAGACATGTTTCTGTTCCAGAAGAAATGCAAAATTTGGGTAGAGTGACAGAGGAACAATCCACTGTAGTGTCAGGAAGAATCAAATCAGCTTTAAAGCTTGGGCACACAAGAAGAGAAAATTCAAGCCATCTGGAAAGAGTTGATGAAGCTGATAAAGTTGATATTTGACACAAGTGGCCAATAGGAAATGTTATAATCCGAACTACCCAGTACATGAGGACAACAGAGAAGGAATAAACAGTGAAACAAAAAATGTGTCAGGAATTCCTTACAAGTTAGTGTTTGGCCACCATAAACATATGTATGCACACTACTTCACTGCATGGGAGAAGAATATAGTAAATTTTTTCTTCTTCACTTCCCTAAGAGAACACATGTTTTGATGGGTGTGTAAGGTGGGACTGTAATGGTAACAGACCCAGAGAGTCTGGAATACTTGAGCTATGTCTTACCGAACATGCCGAGATGCCCTCTGCTGCTGCTGCTAAGTCACTTCAGTCGTGTCCGACTCTGTGCGACCCCATCCCTGGGATTCTCCAGGCAAGAACACTGGAGTGGGTTGCCATTTCCTTCTCCAATGCATAAAAGTGAAAAGTGAAAGTGAAGTTGCTCAGTCGTGTCCGACTCTTTGCGACCCCATGGACTGCAGCCCACCAGGCTCCTCTGTCCATGGGATTTTCCAGGCAAGAGTACTGGAGTGGGGTGCCATTGCCTTCTCCGCGAGATGCCCTCAGCTACCCACAAATGCAATACTCTTTCCATAATGTAATAAATGTAATACTCTTACTCATAAATGTAATAGCAAATTGTAAATAAAAGGCCAGTCAAATCCCTGACGCTCTAATAGAGGGTTTTACGGTGAAGCTTCTATGAAGCATGACACCCCAGGCGAGGTTCTCATGTTTCCACGTTTACCGCTAACCAGCTGTAAATCCTGAAGGCCTGGGACTTTCAAGCACATGAAGTGTAGGAGGAAGACAGATGACGGGTCACAAAGGAACTCTGTTAAAGATGGCGGAAATAAGATTCCGGAAAAGAAAGGCGAAACGCAGAGGTTCCCCAGAGTTGAAGGAGAATGGGGAGCGCGTCCCAGTACCGCAGCTCGAGGGTGATTCGCAGGAGCAGTTCATAGGACACCTGGATCCGCAGAGAAAACCTCTGGTGTTGGAAGGAACTGACTTGGGAGCACGTACAAGCAAATGGACAGAGGACTTCCCTGGCGGCTCAGACAGTAAAGTGTCTGCCTACAATGTGGGAGACCCAGGTTCTATCACTGGGTCAGGAAGATCCCCTCGAGAAGGAAATGGCAACCCACTCCAGTATTCTTGCCTGGAGAATACCATGGATGGAGGAGCCTGGGGGGCTGCAGTCCATGGGGTCACAAAGAGTCAGACACAACTGAGCAACTTCACTTTCACAAGCAGATGGACAGTGGATCACCTAAGCCAAATCAGAAGGAGGAAAGAAGTGAAGATTCACGTTGCTGTAGTTGCCCCCATGGACTTCCTTAAACTTTTAACAAGTTGGTACAGAGCACAACTGAAGAAAACCATAAGGAATTCTTTATATCAGAGGATCTACTGTACTTCATGCTTTGTGGATCCAGTTTTTACTACAAGGATATATAGAGACATTTCTTCATAAGGCCACCGGAGAGCATTAATAGGAAAGACTGAGAAGGATGACCTAGGATCACTTGGGGAAGAGCCTAGAAAGGATCTTGCAAATATCAGAAAGCAGTTTCCTTTATTGGAAGGAGATATCGAGTTTCCAAAATTCTTCAAAGAATGGTTCTTTTCCAGTGTTTTTCAAATTAAGCTCACCAAAGTTACAACTTTGGATCCACTATAAAGTAACAGATAACTTCTCAATACAAGTGACAGGAAAAAAAATGCATTATACTATTCAGTCAAGATGCCCAATATTTATAATTATCGGGTATTAAATCAGAAGTCCTGAACATAGATAACCCAGACTTAACTAAATATCTACTGTTTTCCAAGGCTAGATGGTATGAATGTTCCCTTAAAGCTGGATATGTATTATTGATTCCTGCTTTATGATTCCATAATATAATTTCTGAGGAGTTTGGAGTGGGAGTGAATGTCTTTTGGAAGCACCTTCCCTCTGAATGCTATGCTAAAATGGATACCTATGGAGACAAAGATCCTACAGCAGCAACAAGAGCTGCACAAATTTTGCAGAGTCTTAAAAATCCTTGCAGAATTGCCAGAGGAATATAGGGACTTCTATGTAGGGCGAATGGTTTTGCACATTCAAGATAAAGCCTATAGCAAAAATTTTGAATAAATAATGAACTGAATGCAAAGAGCATAGACTTTTAAATACAATTCAGTTCAAATACTGGAAAAGTGTAACAAGAGGTAAATTATCTTTTTAAAGATTTATTCTTCTCAGGGGGGCACTAGTGGTAAAGAATCTGCCTGTCAGTACAGGAGACAAAAGAAACATGGGGTCAATCCCTGGGTTGGGAAGATCCCCTAGGGTAAGAAATGGCAACCCAGTCCAGTATTCTTGCCTGAAAAATCCCATAGACAGAAGAGCCTGGTGGCTACAATCCATGAGGATCACAAAGAGACATGGCTAAGCATGCATGCACACAAAATAGGAAAGGCAGCTCAATCTCAGATTTATAGATTAAATAAGTATGAAGGCAGGAGAGGTAAAATGCAACTTTGTAACCTTTAGTGTCCTGTGACATCCCTCCCCCTCTACTGTTAGTAAACATGCCCTGCCCAGGGATCTGAGGCATCAGAATAAATATTTCTTCCCCTGGAAGGTCATGACAGGAAGAATAAGAAAAAGACGGGGGGAGTTCTGGTGGTCCAGTGGTTAAGACTCTGTGCTCTCACTACCATGGGCCTGGGTTTGATCCCTGGTTGGGGAGCTTAGATTCCACAAGCCATGGGAAACAAAAAGAAAAGAAAAAATTTAAAAGAAAGAAAGAAACAGATGGGGCAGTATGGAAGACATTACTAGTGTTCACCAACTTTCTCTATTCCTTAAGCATACAGAAAACTGCAGCTCCTGCTCTCCTATAGCTGCTAGAAACTAGTTCTAGCCCCCCCGAGAGAAGAATCCTCCGCACTGGTCCTTAAATTCTGGAGGACTTTCCTCTTCCCCTACTGTAACTGACCACGACCCTATGAAGTCTTCCCAGAATAGACCCCCCACCCATGTCCTCCACCTGCCTTTCCTCTGTAGAAAAACCTCAATCGAAGAAGTGAGAAAATGCAAAAAAAAAAAAAGAAAGAAAGAAAGAAGACAAAATAATAATAGCTGAGCCGTTATACAAAGGCAAAGACCTTTAGTTCTTCCTCAAGGACTATAGATAATATTCTGAGTCATATCCTGTGAGCTGTTTTGCAGATACTGAAAGCGCTCGCTGGTGGAAGTCATTAACTGTAGGCTGCCCAAAAGCATGTAGACCCCAGATCCCGGGAACCAGAAGGTTGATGATGCTAATTCCAGATTACCTCATCACCAACCAATCAGAAGGATGTCCACGAGCTGACCACCCCCCTCCCTGCGCCTTGAACACTCTGAGACTCCTCACTACCTCCTTCTCCTGTGCCTGCCCCCCGCCCCCCACCAGCCTGGCAAAGGAATACAGTTATTTCCTTATACCTTACCAAAATTCTGTCTCCAAGATGTAATCTGGCACTGATGTAAAGAGGTCCAATTTTGGCAACATCACCAAGTCAACCCAAACAGGCTTGTATCCAAATGTTGGAATCAGTATATAAAAGCAGTCTAATTAGATGAGTCATCGGGGAAAGAAGGCCCCTGGAGAATCACCTGAACCTACAACAGATGCTATGTGAATCAGAAATGACTTGCTTAATTAAGGCATTTGATAATGGGTCCTCCCTGGAGGTTCAGTGATCGGGACTCCACCGCAAGGGACTCAGGTTCAGTTCCTGGTCAGGGAACTAAAATCCCTTAGGCCGTGTAGTGCGGCCAAAAACACAGGCACCAGCGTCCTTGTTACCACAGCATCACTTAACTTGCTAGGACAGGAACCAGAATGTCGCCCAGAGTCCTCAGGTAGATTAGAATGTTTATGAATTAGGAGCCTGACCACAGGCCAGAAACTGACCTAGTGTAGGGATGTGTTGGGACCCGTTGTGAGTGTTAGGGTTGTGAGTGCTCTAGAGCTGGGTGGGGGTGTTGCTCCCAGTTGGAAGGGCGTGTGTGGTGCTGAGTGGGAAAAAAAAAAAGGGCGGGGAGCCATCCGAAGGAGCTCGAGCCGCTGAATTTTAATTTCCTTCTTTCTTCACACAGATACCTATGTATCTTTCCCATGTATCTCACCCCATCTGAAAAAGAAGAAAACTGTTTTGCTCGAGGCTGAGTGAGTGAGGACGTGACCTGGGGGCACCAGGTAAGAGCCGGAGATGAGAAGGCCGCACAGGTCTCAGCCTGTCTTCCCTCCTCCGCGGCCGGCCCCCTGGCCGGGCTCCTGCACTTTCTCTCAGAGACAAACAAGAGCCCGTGGGGAGAAGAGGACCGTGGGGCCCAGAGAACACACAGTAAATGGGGCTTGTGCACGCATCTGGAGAGAGGAGAAGGCGTCCTTAGACCCGGAAGACTGGAGGATACGGATGCTGAACCGGAAGTTAGCAGCGCTGTTCTTTCTTACTTCCGGTGTGAATGTGTCCACCGCGCGTACGTTCTGAAATCTAACTTGACTGCGTCATAACAGTAAGAGTTAAATCTGTCAGCTGCTTGTTACGAATCATTTTTCTAGGCACAGTGTGAATATGGGGGGCAGGAGGTGGGAGAGACTCATCAGAATAACCCTTCACTGTGATACGATCATGACTTCCCTTCTGCAGGTGAAGTAATGAAAGCATGAACCAAAGTTCACAGGAAGTTAGTCCGCGGGCTATGCTGTTTTCATTGCACTGTATTTCTTACTTGGGAACCCAGGAAAACCTCATTTCTACATCTTTAACATCCCTGCAATAAGATGCACAAAAGGTCAAAATGACTGAAGAATCGTATTATAATTCTGGTGCCAAGATAGACCTCCATCCCTGTCTTTTAAAAAGAAGGCAGTGGTCTCATGGGTCGGGAACGAGGAATGACATCTGTGGGAAAAGGTTGCAAGTCAAGCACAGATAGAAGGCGATACCAGCCGGGAATCTCCCTTGCCAGTGGCCGCTGATGCAGCGTAGGTAAATCGAAGCCTCTGGGTGGTCCAATCAGAAGCTTTGCTGAGTTTTCTGTGCTGCCCGTCAGTGTCCCCAGTGGGAGATCTGGGTTTCCCGGGCTCTTCGGAGAAACCAGACGTTTCGGGGAGACAGCTGATAAAGAGAGTGGTCATGCCTCTTTGCCTTCTCCCACATTCTTGTTTTTTGTTCTACTTGAGTTTGAAAACTAAGATGGGGGTTTTTTATTTTTCCCTTCCTGCCTGACTTCAACCAAGAGCTCTACTTCATAGAGATATGGGCTTTTCTGTGATTTTCCCCCAAAACTCACCCCTCATTTTACACCCCTTTTCTGCCTTCCCTCCCTGTTCTCTAGGGAGTGAGAGAAGTTGGGCGTGGTAGATGCAGCTGTTCGTTGAGGGTGTTAAAAAAAAATCATTCTATTACCTGGCAAAAATATCTCTTCAACCGCTATCTTGGTGACTTTATTATTTTTTATTGAGATATAATTAGGTTACAACACTATGTTAGTTCCAAGTGTACAACATAGTGATTGGATACCTCTATACATTACAAAGTAATCAACATGATAAATCTAGATGCCATCTGTCATCATACAAAGTTATTACCATAGTATTCACTGTTTTAGCCACCCTGTGGATTTCATTCTTGTGACACATCACATTTCTTTTGTAACTGGAGGTGTATGCCTCCGAATCTCCCTCAGCTATTTCATTCATTCTCCCTGTCCTGTCCCCTTTGGCAACCACTCTGTACTGCGTGTCTTTCTGCTTTTCGCTTGTTCACTTGTTTTTCAGCTTCCACATGTAAGTGAAACCATACAGTGTATGTCTTTCTCTGACTTATTTTGCCTTAGTGTGATACCTACTAGGCCAATCTATGTTGTTGCTAATGGCATGATTTTATTTTTTTATGACTGAGTAATTTTCCATCGTATGTATATACCACATCTTCTTGATCCATTCATCTACTGGTAGACACTTCGATTGTTTCCATTTATTTTGTTTCCTTTTCACTTAATTCACTTTGTTTCATTCTTTCCTTTTATTGATGTAAGTAATTAAGGTGATGAATTCTCCTCTGAACACTGCTTTAGCCATATCCTAAAAGTTTTGATGTGTGATTTTCAATTGTCATTTTTCTAGAAATTTTTCAGTTGTTGCTTTCTCACTGTCTGGCCCAAGAGAAAGACTGTTTCTTTAAGTTTCCATGTGGAAGGGCATTTATCTTTTCTGACCTTATTATTATTATCTAGTTTGTTCCACTATAGTCAGAGAATTGTATCTATATCATTCCTACTTTTGGGGGGAAATTACTGAAGTTTATTGTGCCAGAATGTGTGGTCCATTTTCATTAATACTTTGTTGAAACTTGAAAAATTGTGTTCCCAGTTTTCAGTGAGAAGATGTCAATATAGATCCATAGATCTAACTTTTGACTAAGTTAGTAGCATCTTCTGTGTTCATAACTTTTATCTACTTGATTTCTCTAGTCCTAAGAAAAGTGAACTAAAATCGCCTATTACTGCCTTTTTGAATAGTTCCCTAGTATCTTCCTTAATTTCTGCTCCGTGATGGTTACTTATATGCTATTTGGACTTACATATCTCTTAGATATCCATTTTTAATTTTACACTTTCCATTATAAAGTGCCTTCTTATCTCAATCAATTTGGAGAGATGGATCTGAATGTCACCTTGTTTAATAATAAGATTGACCTCTGCTTTCTTTAGGTTTACATTCTCTTTTTTTATGCCTTTGTCTATCATTTGATTTGTTGAGTAAATGAGTGAATCTTTCAGGACTTCCCTATCAATCCAGTAGTTAAGATTCCATGCTTTTGCTGCAAGAGGAGTTGGTTTGATCTCTGGCCAGGGAACTAAGATCCACATGCTACATGAAGTGGCCAAAAAATTAAAATTTGAAAGTGAGAAAAAACTGAATCTTTTTGAGTCACTGTATTTTTAAGTATATCTTTTGTATATTGCAAACAGCAAAGTTTTTCTTTTAATCTAATCTGAAAATATTTTTAACTTTAATATTTTAATGAGTTAAGTCCTTTTACAATTATTAATATGGCAGATGGATTCAGTACAATTTGGAGATTATTATTTTCTATTAAACATGTTTATATGAGTATTGCATTTTTAAAATCTTTCACTATATCTTTTAGTGTTTTTCTAAATTGCAGTCTTTCAGATTTTTGAGAAACTTTATGTTGGCATTATCTTGATTTTATCTTTATATAATGCAGTTAGTTTCTCCCTTCTTTAGATAGTTCCTATTAGTTTTCTACTATAAACAAAACTAGCTTATATTCTCTCCCTTCCTCTTCAGTTGTCTTTGTGTATACCTTTGTATTCTTAAATATGTTCTAAACATGTGAAGTTGGGCAAAGTCCACCTTGACTGAGCTCTGCGTCCCAGACAAGTGAGCAAATGTTTCTCAGTCTCCATTTCTCATTCTCCATTTCTCATTCTTACAATTGGGAAAGCAACATATGCCGCAGAAGTTTCCCTTAAAGGTGGAGTAAGATACGGCAGGTTCTTAGCACAGCAGGAGCACAGAGAAAGCACTCCATGAATGCTTATTATTGATACTGAATATTGTAATTCATAAAAGTTCTTGAAACTCAGTATTTCCCAGGACCAACAGATGGCACTGGATTCAAGTAAATGGATGCTCCTCTCACTCAGCACCCAAAACAGGGAAGATCTTTGTTTTCCCTTCCCCCTAGTCCTCCCTCTGCAGATTCTGACAGTTCCGCACTTCCTTCTGAGGCCCCAGTGCCATTCAGAGGCAAGTGGCTGCCCCACTCAGCTGGGTCGTGAAGGACTTGAAGGTCAGTGTTGTTCCCACATTGGGCAGGGCAGGCAGGGTGGGAGCTTGTTTGGGGACCCACAGTAATCTGAGAGTTTCCTGTTTCCCCTTCGCCATTCATATCTTGCTTCGGAAAGAGCAGCACACGGCTGAGTGGAAAGACTCTGAAGGTAAGTGATGAGAAGATGGGGGATTTAAGGGATGGGAGTCAAACGGTGATGGGCAGTGGGAGGGGAAAATGAAAAGAACTAGAACTGGACTGCCCTGGTGGTCCAGTGGTTAAGAATCCACCTGCCACTACAGGGTTGTGGGTTCGATCCCTGGTCTGGGAAGATTCCCGAATGCTGTGGGGCAGCTGCAAACCACAGCTACTGAAGCCAACTGCACTAAAGGCTGTGCACTGCGACAAGAGAAACCACCGCATCAGAAACCTTTGCACCACAACTAGAGTAGTCCCCACTCACCACAACTAGAGGAAGCCCTCAAGCATCAACCAAAACCCAGTACAGCAAAAAAATAAGTAATTTAACAAAATAATAACTGGAACTCTGGACAAATCAGAATTACTAATGCTTGTGGTTACCAGGCAGACCACACTTGTAGGAGTTTGTTGAATACACTGTTGGGGAATGTTTTTCTGTGTCTCTGAAGTGAGTCTTACCTGGGACTGTCCCTCAAAGATAACACATTTTCATGATCCCCTATGATCCTAGGGTCTGCTGCACCTTCCTGTTCTGCCCATCCGGATGCCTGAGTTTCCCTCCCAGCTCTCTGACTGATGGGCTCTGTGATTTCAGGCCCGTTTCCCTATCTATGAAAGATTTGACAGCTATACTATTTTTAAGATGTCTTTCAAGTTTTAGGTATTATGAACCCACGGGTATAATTATACTGAGGTTACCAAAGAATTTTAATAGATCGTTTTCTCCGTGAAGACTATAGTTCCCACAAGGTAGAGGATACAGAACTTATTATTCCTATTTTACAGATGGAGGAAGGACACTTGGTGGGGAGGGGAAAGAATCAGGCCAGACTTCTCTCCCTCCCAATGCTTATTTCGCCTTTGGTGAAATTTGGAAGTCTACCCACTCCAGTATCCTGGCCTGGAGAATTTCATGGACTATACAGTCCATGGGGTCGCAGAGAGTCTCAGACAGGACTGAGCGACTTTCACTTTCACTTTCTGTCTCTCCCAATGCTTGTTTCACCCCCAGTGAAATTTGAACAATAAACAGGTGTGGAGCAGCAGGACTATGCAGATGAAGTAAAGGTTCACACGCATAGGAAGTTATTTACTCTGGCCTCACCCTGATCCCAACAGTTGCCAGGCAGAAACAAATCCAAAACAACAAAAGTTCTGGTGAGTTCAGTGCTGGTCTGGGAAGTACCTGCTGCTTCTGGGAAAGTGAAAGTTTCAGTTTACTAAAAAAGAGCAAATGTAAGACCTTCCAGGAACCAGTGACTGTACAGCTTTGGAATGTCAGTGAGTTGTGGGTGTAAGGAATATTGAGATGGAAGACAGTAGAGGAAGGAGATTTATTCACTTACCCAAAACAGTTATTTATCATTCAATGTGAATGGAGCCCTCTGCCAGGCAGTAGACACGAAGCTTAATAAGACAGATGGCCTCCCCTGCAGGGGCTCACGTTAGTTTCAGGACAGAGGTGGATGGTGGGAGTGGAGAATTTAATAGGGACAGTGAGAGAGGTGAGCCCCTGGAGCAGAGCAGCAGGAGCTCATGGAAAGGAGCACTGAGATGATAAGAGAAGGATTCCTGGGAGACTTAAACCCTGAGGTGAATCTTAAAGAACTAGGGCCTAATGGGGAGAGCCATTTAGGGAATGGCAGGGCGCGCCATATACAGAGGCACAAAGGTATCAGGAAGGCAGGAAGTTTGTCACGGATGGAACATCCTTTCCAAAAGGAAAACCAGAGAGAAATGGGCTAGATAAGCTGTATTTCTGGGGAAGAAATATCAATGCAGAAAAGAGAAGGGACAGAGGAAGGAGTGATACTGCTTTACTTGTCCCCTAGAAAGAAAAATGACTTCATTAACAATGTCTGGAAGAGATGAACCAATAGTAGGGGAACATCTTTGGACATGAGATCATTCCCTGGTGGCTCAGATGGTAAAAAATCTGCCTGTGATGCAGGAGACCCAGGTTCAATCCCTGGATCAGGAAAAACCCCTGGAGAAGGGAATGGTCACCCACTCCAGTATTCTTGCCTGGAGAATCCCATGGACAGATGAGCCTGGTGGGCTACAGTCCACGGGGTCACAAAGAGTCAGACACGACTGAGTGACTAACACTTTCACAACACAATGAATGAAAGTTGTAACAATGGGATTAGAGAGAAGATAAGGGATTCAGAGCTGTTCACAACTAGGAAGTGAAAGCTTTATGAGATCTGATTAACAGTAGACTATAACACAAGATACAATATAATTGGTTGAGAGTGTGGACTGTGGGGTCAGACCTGGATTCCGAGTCCAATTCCACCACTGTGCAACCTTGCGAAAGTCCTTTAATCTCTTTGAGACTCAGTTTTCTCATACACACAATGGGGATAAGGGTAAACAAGGTCAAAGGGTTGAGGATAAGGATTAAAAATGATAATACACGGAAAAGACTTGGCATATTTCCTACACATATTAAAACACTGTACACAGTAGCTGTTATCAAAGTTTTATTAATATTGTTAATTAGGGAACAGTGCTCTGCTCCTCCATATCCTAGTGGTCCCCAAAATATTAGACCCTGGTGGAAATTGAGAAAAATACAGGGAAAGGGAAACTCATGAATATTTATGTATCTCAAAGAACAATCCAAAGACTAATCAGACAGCCAGCAAAATAGTCATGGTGATTATCTCTGGGACATGAAACAGTGCATAATTTTACTTTTCCCCTTCTTACCTGTCTCTATTGTCTAAATTTACTATACAAATGTATGCTATTTATGTAAGAAAAAATAGTTTTAAATATATTCAAGATACCACAGTACAGTACTCTGCACCAGGCAAAGCTCTGTTCGTCAAGTAACTAAGGTTCCTGGATGCAGACAGATACCAGGGCTCCAGTCCCCCGCCCTCCCACGGCCCCAGCAGAAGTACCCACAGTCTAAATCCAGCTCCAAAAACAACCAGCCAGGAAAACCCAAGGCAGGATCTACTCCGGGGCGCTGAGGTGGCCCTGGGCAGGGCCGGGCGTGTCTGGGGTCTCCTCGCTCTTGTTCTGCTGCACCAGCCAGGAGTAGAGGTCCTGCCCGTCCACGAGCTGCTCGGGGCCCTGCAGCCGGCCCTGCCTCAGCACCAGGATCTGGTCGGCGCTCTGAACCGTTTGCAGCCTGTGAGCGATCACCAGCACCGTGCGGCCCCCGTGCGCTCTCCAGTCCTGCAGCTGAAGGGGGAGGATCGCGATGCCACGGGCGCCAGATAAGAAGGGGCTGGACGCCCGGGGCCCACGGCTTAGGGGGAAGAGGCGTGAGCCACGAGAAGGTAGCACAGGGCAGAAGGGCAAGGTCGGCTGCTCTCCTCCCTCCGCGGGGTCAGGCAGCCTCAGAGGATCGGGGAGGCCCCCGCGCGCCCCGGCCCCGCGAGGGGTCCCGCCGCCGCGCACTCACCGCCTGCTCACACTCCACGTCCAGGGCGCTGGTGGCTTCATCCAGGATGAGGACGCGGGGGTCCCGCACGAGGGCCCGGGCGATGGCCAGACGTTGCTTCTGCCCCACCGCCAGCTGGCTGCCTTTCTCCCCCACCTCTGAGGAGACCGAGAAACCCCCTCTCCTCAGAGACAGGGGCCCAGACAACGGCCGCTTCACGAGCGCGGCTGGGACTTCCCCAGGCCCCGCTCCGGAGGACGAGCGCCCGTGGACCGGGCTGGGGGGAGGGATCTCCGCGGCGGCCGGTTCTCCGGGAACACGGCTCCCGAGGGGCTCAGGCGGCCACAGCGCCCAGTTCGCGGGCGCCGGGGGCGAGCGCAGGGGCCGCAGGTACCTGTATCGAGCCCGAGCTCCAGCTCGCGGATGAACTCCTCCGCGCGGGCCGCGCGGGCCGCCGCCAGCACCTTCTCGTCGCTGCAGCCTTTCAGGCCGTAGGTGATGTTGTCCCTCACCGAGCCCGAGAACAGCACGGGCTCCTGCCCGACCAAGACCACCTGGGCGGAGGCGACAGGAGCAGAGGGCTTGCGGAAACCCCCGCGGCAGGGACTCCCCCTTCCTTCTCGCCTGCGCCCCTCACTACCGACGCCTTGGGTTCCCTCCCCTGCCCTCTGCCTACCCCTGGCCGTCCTCCCCACCTGACGGTGCAGGTAGCGGTGCTCATACTCGGAGACCGGCGCCCCGTCCAGCAGCACCTGGCCCTCGGTGGGCTGGTACAGATTCTGCAGCAGCGCGGCCACCGTGCTCTTCCCAGACCCGTTGGGCCCCACCAGCGCCGTCATCTGCCCAGGCCTCAGGGTGAACGTCAGACCCTAGAGCAGCCGGGGAAGAATCAGAGGTCTGCCCCTTCTCCTGGCCTCCTTGAGGCCGATCATCCGAGCAGGGAGTCAGGGGCCCAGTCTCCCCCCATCGGGCACCTGGAGCGCAGGCTGGTCAGGGCGACTGGGATACACAAAGGAGACGTTCTGGAAATTCACCAGGCCCTGCAGAGTCGATGGGGCCAGAGTACCCGGTGGAGGCAGATCTGGCTTTCGGTCCAGGTAGCGGAACACCTTCTCGGCTGCCCCCACGTTGCTCAGCATGTCCCCAAACATGTACACCAGGGTCTGCAAAACAAGAGGGCAGGGCTCAGCTAAGCGAAGTCAACTGCACCACGAACCAGCTTCCCAGCTCCTACACAGGCCCGCCACACTCCACCCCAGCTGGGCTTCTCCCCTTGTCCCAAAAAGATCACCACCTTTAATTTTTAAAGATTTAAAAAAAAAAAAAAAAACTTTCTTAGAAAAGACTTTTTTACTGGAGAAAGGAATGGCAACCCACTCCAGTATTCTTGCCTGGAGAATTCCATGGACAGAGGAGCCTGGCAGGCTATATAGTCCATGAGGTTGAAGACTGGGATGCAACTGAGCAACTAACACTTTCACTTTCTTGAATAATGAGGCAGATGGCTTCCATATGAGATAACTAGCATAAGAGTATTAAAAAAATTCTTTTTTTTACAAAAAATTTTGGATGCCCCAGGTGGCAAGTGGGACCCTAGTTGCCCCACTAGGGATCAAACCCATGCACCCTGCAATGGAAGCACAGAGTCCTAACCCCTGGACAATCTGGAATAAATGTGCAATTTGACTCAACTTAAAATGGGCACCAATACCCCATTATTCCAATTTGTAACGTAAAGGATGGAGACATCTTTACTCCTCCCATCCAGCGTCACCTTCATCTCTAGACCTTTCCAGCTACTGTGCTATGTTACTTGTACATAGCTGTCTAGCCTGGTGAGACAGGGACTCCTTAAATGTAAGCACTGTGCCCACCTCATCTTTGCAGCCACCAGACTGCCTCACACAGCTCTCCACATGTCAGAGATGTTTACAAAAATTATAAACTAAAGCCCAAGATGCAGTAACTAATTACTTTTCAAACTGGTATCTATAAGGAGGGTGTCCCAGGAGGCTCAGTGGT